TTGATTTTAAATAGTGTTGTTTGACAATTTAATTTACTAAATAATTTGTTTTATATCTGCTAAATCATTACTTCATTTCCAAAAACAAACATTAATGTTTTCTATTGACCGTGGAACGTATTGACATAAGCACAACATAAATTTGGTTTTGTATTCGAAACGTTAATTTTATTGGCACAAATTAAAAAAAATGAATAAAAGTTTGGTTTAATTTATATTTTTTGGTTTTACATATTGTTTATTTTTTATTTTTGGTTTTAATTATTGTTTTAAAACAATACAAAATGTTTTTTAATTCAAAGCAAGAAATATTATATTTTATCATAATTTATAAACAAACCAGACTTATTTCATCAAAGGTGACTTCCCAAGGTGTCCAAGTAAAGGTAAGTACATTTATATTTTTTTTTAAAAAAATAGAATTATTAATTTTTTTAATTTTTTTAAAAAAAGATTATTTATTGTTTAATTATTAATTATAATTTCGAAGTTATTACTAAACTATACTTTAACTTGCACACCTTGTAACGTTGCAATTTTTTTTACACTTCGAATACAATATATTAACCCTTCGAGGACTGAAATTTTTTTCTTTTTTTTCAGAAAAAAATTTCAAAAAATAATTTTACTTTTCCAAAAAATGAAAATAATGGCGACTTTTCATGAACAATTTAGAACAATTATTGACTTATTTGGTAAAATAGTTCAACTTAAATTCAAACTTTTGAATTATTTATAAAACATTTTATCATTCATAAACTCAAATTAATTGGGTTTTGTTAAAGATTTGTCCTTCAATCAAAAAAATATATAATTTAACAAATTAATATCAGTAATAAAAATAATACAAAAATAAACTGTTTTCATAAACAAATAAAAATGGTAATAAAATTGATTAAAGAATACTATCAGATATTCAAGTTTTTCAAAAACAAAATAAAAAACACTTAAAAAGTGTGCAAGATTGTGGGTTTGATATAACAATAAGATTGGTTCAAACCAAAATAAAATAAGAACATGACAAAAATATTGTTGTTGAAATAAAAAAATGGATTCCACTCAAACTAAAAATACTTAGAAAACCAAATAACAACATAATATTACGATAAAACCCCGTTATTTATCATTATTTGTGTTCGTTATTCAACTAACATAACAATAACAATAAAACAATTATCTTATATGGTAAAACAACGCTATAAAACATCAATTTAAGTCAAGAAAAATAGCAGTTTTGGATACATTATACAATGCGTGACAAAAGTATAATAAATTGTATAGTAATTTAAATTAAAAATCAAACTATAATTAATCAACCTTTGAATAATATAATTGATAATAAATTTATTATATATTATGATTGATTATAACAATATTAAAACTAAACCAAATGAACACCAATACAAATATAATTAAATTGAGCCAAGCATAAACAGCCTTCTCATGCTTAATCCTTGTTCATCTGCGAGCGCCTCCATTTTAAGTCTGTCGTTAATGCCTGAGTACATAGATTTTCCACAAGAAAAGACGATGTTTTCATACAACTAGTTTCTGATATCGACATCACACTTCACGATTGAGTTGTGAGTAGTATCGTGGATACCTGATGCTTCCATACCAAGGAATGATGGCTGGAAGAGTGCTTCTGGCATCTGAATCTCTCGTTTCCAATGGTGATGACTTGACTGTTTGAAAATTTGTTTGATTTTTCAAGTTCTGATGATGAAGCAGCCTTTTGTATCTCTTCGTCAAATCAAATGCGAGGCGGCAAAGTTATTTATAATAATAAGTAATTATTTATTTTTTGAATTTTTATTCCAAATATAACAAGAAATTTGTGTGTTATTTTACACAATTATTTAATGTTGATTTACCATATTTATTTGGATATTCAAATGTTTTTTTCGGGATATCAAGATTAAAAAATGATAATTTTTGATTATAAATTGGTTTTGCACATTGTTTAAAACAATGCAACTTGAGACTATAAATCTATTCATCACAAATCTTGAAATATCAACTCAATTATCATGTTTATTCAAATTTATATCAAGTATTTTCTTTGTTTTATCACAAACTTTTTTGTTTTGTAGCAAGTGACGTTATTTTATGTAAGATTTAATTAGTACTTTTAATTAATTTAAACCATTTTATTGTATAGCAATCTCCAAATAAAAAAACACCAAAAATGTTCTTTTGCATTTAATTTGTTAAAATGGTTTACATTAATTAAAAAATAACTATAAATGTTTTGCATTAAGAAAAGTTTTGAACAAAACGGGGTAACCTTACTGTATTTATTTTTTAAATTTCGAACAAAAGCGTTTATTTAAAAACACAAAACACAATTCGTTACAAAATCAATCGAATAAAAAATACATTATAAATTATCTAATATTTTTAACTATAACTGTTAATAATTTAATAAGTTACAATTGTTTGCCTATTTCTTATTGATCCATTGTCGTGGAATAACAGATAGTCGTTAATTTAATATATTCTTTAAAATTATCCTTTTTAAAACAAAAATTAATTTCATATTTTTGTTTTTGATGTGTTTGAATAACATTATTATACATTATTGTTATTTAAATCAAATCAATTAAACTATAATGATTATTATATTATCATTCTAGACTCTATATTATTATTGGTAAAATAATATTAGAAAGG